TCAGGGCACAGGCCCGGGTTGCAGGCTCAGTCCCCAGTGTGGGGCGTGCAGGAGGCAGCCGATCCATGATTCTCTCTCATCATTGATGTTTCTATCTTTCTCTCCCTCTCCCTTTCTATCTGAAATCAATAAAAATATTTTAAAAGAGAATTTTTTTTTTTTTTTGCTACAAATCATATATTCCTGACCACACTCCTGGTTCCCTCCTCATTACCAGAACATCAGAACAACAAGCAAAGCCATTCAGGATCTTAGGAAAACAGAGAAATGTTTCTGGCCTGGGATAAAATCGAGCTTCTTATCAAACAAAACCTGCTTTAAACTTACTAAATGAGTTAGTAGTTTCTAACCTTACAACACAAACACGGTGCCTACACAAGGCATCCGAAGGACTGGTCTCCCCACTTACAACTGAGTTGTTTTAAGCGCATCCTCAACATGATAAATATTTGTTTCTTACAAAGCCTCAGGTACCCTAGCTCGGAACAGACCAGGCAGTTAACCGTACCGCTCAACTCTCAAAATTTCAGAAACGCGGGCCCAGATTTGAGCTTTTTCTACGACAGTGGTCGGCAAACTCATTAGTCAACAGAGCCAAATATCAACAGTACAACGATTGAAATTTCTTTTGGGAGCCAAATTTTTTAAACTTAAACTATATAGGTAGGTACACTGTTATTAACTTAATTAGGGTACTCCTACGGCTTAGGAAGAGCCACACTCAAGGGGCCAAAGAGCCGCCTGTGGCTCGCCAGCCGCAGTTTGCCGACCACGGTTCTACGACATCCAACCACAGAGTAAACAGAAACGCCGTATACTCATTGCTTTTGCTTCCTTCCTCGGAGTCTGGTGACCTGGGTTTCTGTCCAGCCTTGTGGGAATCCCGCCGGCAACCACGCAGCGACTTCTGCAAAATCAGGACCCATCTGAGGCCCTCCCCTGCCAGAAGCAAATGCTAAGACGCTATTTATGTAGCTATGGACACAGGTGAGCTTCGCCTTCTTTAATTAAAAAAAAGAAAAAAGGGTGCTGGCCATCTTCACCTCAGTAAGGAGATCACCCGGCACAGGTGCCCACACTTACTAGCACTTGATCCTTGAGACGCTGGGTTTAAAAATGAGGATCTCCGAGGAGCATCTGAGATCTTGCTTCCCTGCAGTCGTCACCAATTTGGTTCAAATAAACTCATAAAATGTCTCTATAGGTTTGGCCATTTTCTTATGTCAACAACCAGTAGACATAAGTTGCAGGATTTCTGGAAGATGGTCCATCATTGCATCGTTACCCTTTTGTTGATTACTCTCACGTGATTGCTATGTTTTTCTAATCGTAGGTTAACTTCACATGTCAGTGTCTATCAGGAAATGGTGTTACTTGCCAAACAACATTTGCGAGGGTTGCATTTTCTTTGCCTTTTTTTTTTTTTTTGCTGGAAAGTCTTTGGAATATGATTGATTGCTTTGATCAATCTACGCTTGAAAAGGGATTCGTGTGTCTACCGCTTGATATTGATAGCAAGCATCTGAGCCAGCCACTCCTACACAACCAACATGCTCAAAATGCATGAGAAATTAAAAAGTAAATGAATAAATATGGATTCTCAGCTCTTCCTTTCTATGGTTCTGATTTCACCCCAGGTGACTTACACAATTCAGCAGCGTGAGGACACCATCCATGTATAAAAGGGGGGAAACACGGGACTCTAACCAAAGAAGGGTTTCTGCTGAGGTCCCTGGGTTTTCTGAGTAACTCTAACAGTAAATGTTTGAGGGGCAATATTTTCACCACCCAATCCTGAAGCAAAGCACTCAAAACCTCAATCTTTAGTGCAATCACCATGCTTGCCCGCCAAAATTCCAAGGGGGTTTTTGAGGGCTGCCTGGAGCATCCTGAATAAGAGAGAGAGAGAGAGAGAGAGAGAGAGAGAGAGAGAGAGAGAGAGAGAAAAGGGTCCTTGCTCTTCTTTTCCATAGCGCATGTCTACAGAACTCAGACGGAATGCCTTTTATTTTGAAAGCTTTATGGACTCCGTCAGCTTCCAGAAGACAGACTTTCTTTCCAAACTGTTCGAAAGATACAACATGATCACATGAAAGGGGCTGTCGCCTCCAAAGGAGGTTGTCAAGTCGCCCCGTTTACTTACGACTCCATTAAAGATTAAAAGAAATAAACCCAAATGCTTCGAATCCGTAGGTACGTACCTGCAACTTAACCGGTGAATTAATTAGAGGCCGGTCATTCGGGGACATTGGAGGCATTGTAAACTACCTTTATAATCTCTCAAAATTCAAAATCTAAATATAAGCAGGTGGGAGGGAGATGACAAATAAGAAAGTTGCATGACCATGACCTTAACTAACATCCGTAAATTACCTCTCCCCGTTCAACACCCCCCCCCCGCCCCCCCACACACACACACACAAACCCTAGAGCAGTGGGTCTCAACCTTGGCTGCACATTAGAATCACCTGGGAATCTTTTTAAAATCCTGATTTCTGGGCCTCATCCTCCGGAAATTCTGTTTCTTTGTTACTAATGATGAGGCCCAGAAATCAGGATTTTAAAAAGATTCCCAGGCGATTCTAATGTGCAGCCAAGGTTGAGAACCACTGCCCTAGAGAATGCAAGCTGATCTGTTTGCTCCTGGCCTAGAAGAAAGGAGGAAGGCGGCCCAGGTGCTCCAAGAAAACCATTCGGGACATGGACCAGCGCCAGGGCACAGCACACCTGAATGGAAAATGAAATCCAGGTACACCCAGCCCAGGGAGCCCCAGCTCCTGTCTGAACTTAAACCACAGATGCGGAGCCGCGGTCCCCGTCCGCAACATGAAAGGTAACGCGAGGACGGTCTCAAACACCCCTAGAAACCTCGATGCTGGGGCATGATGTCCTCACCTGCTGGCTCAAGAGGCCTCAGTCACTTGCTCGCCTTGATGACTTGGCCCAGTCATTAGGTCTCAGAGTGTCCATTTCTGCATCGGGAAAAGGGAGACCCTCTTAGCTTCTAACTGGCTGCCTGGAAGAATAATCCTGTCTGACTAGGACACCCAGATTAGTTATGGGAGGCAAAGACTGCCCGGATCCTCCCTGAACACTGATTCGGAAGCTACGAGTAAGGCCTCGGACTCCATTCTCACGCCCCTATCCCTCAGCTAACGGAGCCC